GTCTCATATGACATGAGGTTAATATTTTCTATTTTTTTAAAACGTACAGTTGATTGCACATTTGCAGTTTTTTTTTTTTTTTGGAAATATTTGCAGTTCTCTTTTTATATTACTGTACTGCAATTGTATTAGATGTGAGAGATGTGCGGTACGACGGTGCAATTATCATTTTTCAAACATCATAAAAGTATAAGTTTGGCAGTGACTGTCTTACAAACGAAATCGTTTAATGGTACGAAAACCTTCGATTTGATAAGCTCCTTGGGTTTCAAAAATTTCTAGGCAATGGGCCTGTGTCTTCCCCACGCAATCAGTATTCTTAATGTTTGTTAATTAGATCCAACAAGGCTTGGGCATCTGGGACTGGGACATGGATAAAGTCATCAAAAGTGCTAAAGCCTATGGACCAGTCCATGTAACTGGTACACTAAAAGAAGAAGAAGTTAAAAACCATTTTTTTTTAGATTAATGAATATTGAATAATGACCTTGTTTCAGATTTTTTTTTTTTAGCAAAGAGTCAGATTTTGCTTTTAAGTAGACTTGTTTATCAGATTAACCTCTACTAGAATAAAGAGTATATTTTAAAAGATAAAATAAAAAAGACTTTTAAAGTTTTATTATAAAATCAACATTTGGGCAACATTAATACACAAATCAAGCCGCAGCGACTATAATATTTTAACTGAAGAAAAGGAAATTGAAACAAAATTTAATAGTATATATGCAAAAATGGTTCATATTAATTATCTTATTTAATAAGTCTTGCTGCTTGTTGACAAAATCAATTATTAAATAATCTATCTAATTTTAGTCGCCCGGCCCAGCCCCATGTGCTACTTTGTGCCCGACTAACTTCGCTCTCTCTTATTGGATGTGTTGTTTTTTATCTCCACACAACTTTTTTCAAACAAGCACAACACATACACAATTTCTCTAGAATAAATCTTTTGGTGTATCTATTACACCTAGATTTAGAGCATCTCATCAATGAGAACATTACATATCAAAAGAGAGAAAGAAAGAATTTTAAAAAATAAAATAAAATTTAACTGACATATAATATTTCTATTAATGAAATGTACTAAATCTTTTATGCAACAGTAACATCAAAAATTTATTCATTTGTCTGTGTACATTTACTCTCTACTTTCTCGTGTCTTATCTAAGTGAGATGTTAACGTGTGTTAGTGTCTTGCATATATACCATATCTTCGTGCTACCAGTTCAACAAATATCAAATTCTATTTAGAGAACCGAACCTTTAGCCGTCGGTCCGGTCCTATTCATAACTTTGTTCGCATCTTCCGTTGCTCTTGCTATTAATGTTCTTATCACTACATCTTACTGGTGGAGCCAAAGCGATTTTTATCTGTGTTCGTTTTTTCTGCAGTGCTCAATATGATATCTTTTTAGGATAAAAATCATGATGTTTTTGTAATTTTAAACTATTTCAGGGTTATAATAGTCTTTATATTTATATTTTTTAAGATTCCAATACCAAAATGACGTCGTTTTAGAAATAAATGCAGATAACTTATCTACCATAACAGCAGAAATATTTTTTTCCTTTTTATATTTACCTATATAGTGTTTAAGCAGTTATGCTTAACATTACTACTCTTCTTGTTACAAGAATTATTTATTATAACCTATTAGGATTGATTTAGTGGTGAGAGGTTTGAGTAAGTTATATTAGAATTCTCACTAATATAAAAAAAAAATTATTTACTATATTTTTCTTTAATTTTTTTTAAAAGGTAATATTATTTGAATCAATTTAAGAAAGATAAATAAAAGATATAGAAAAAGTAAACTTGTAAAAATTAAATTTAAACATAATAAAGGTAGTTTTATTTGCTTACCAAAAAAAAGGTAGTTTTATTTTTTATTTAATCTCAAAAATATTTGATATCTACTTAATATCAATATATAAGACTACAATAATTGAATTAGAATTTGAAAATTGGATAAAAGTATACTTAAACATGATAAAATTGATTTTGTTTTCTAGTCAATCTCAAATAGATTTAATACCTATCAAATTATTAATATATAATAAATAAGATAAGAAAAATAAATTAGGATTTGAAAATTGGATACAAAGTAAATTTAAACATGATAAAATTTATTTTATTTTCTAATCAATCCCAAGAATATTTAATATTTATCTAAATATCAATATGTAATAATAAAAATATTTTATTTTGTAGCCAATGAAATTTATTTGAGTATTTTTATGAAATTTTTTTTTTCTTTTGTTTCAGAATTTTTTTTGCTAAATTCATATAAAAGTGAGTTTGTTCAATTGTAAAGAGAAGAGATAGAAAATATTAGTGAAACTCACTCACTTTTATGTGAGGGTGCAGAAAATTTTTTGATACAGCAAAAGCATAAACATCAAATCTTATTTTATTTATATTGTTATATTATATTGTAATTCATACTGTATAATTTATATTCCGTGAGTATTTCTATTTAATTGTATAATTTTTATTTTTGTTATAAATTTTGTAATACATATAATTTCGTCCTAGAAAAAAATAACTCCGCCATTGTTACGCATTCTACGGTCCTTAAACATGCATCGTATATCTAAAAGCACTCAAGCATTGCCCCTTACCCTCAGTCATGTCATCTATTTTAGCTGCCACAATCTAAGCATGCAATATACTAGGGACTGAGAATGGGTTAAAAAACGTCACATTCACATTACAACCGTATTTTCGTGCCCTTTCCAATCGTCCACTAATGCATGCGGACAAATTTAATTACTTCAATGACTAGAAAAATGTACAAAGGATGACCAAGTCAAGCGTGGGTGTGCCACTCAGCCGTGGAAACGTGACAATTTGGCCTTCAGATGAGAAGAGTGGATAAGCTTAAGGTGGTGTTTGGTTGGGGGTATTTTTGAGGATGTCTATCAGTCTATGCAAGTGAAAGTGGGAAAGCAAACAGCCATGTTTGGTTCACGGTTTCCTTCAATTTCCCCATCTAAGTGATTTGCATAGATTTCAGCATTTTGTGGTAGATAGATAGGAAAATCTACTGTTAGGAAAGCCAATTTGTATGTGATTTTTTAAAGATAGCTAGAAAAATGAAGCAAAACACCCGGTAAAGTTTTTTTCCCACCAAACAATTTTTTTTAACATTTTCCTATCTATCTCACTTTATCTAACTTTCTTACCATTTTCCTATCAATTCTATTTCCCTAGTATTTAAAAAATTTCTCCTCAACCAAATGCCCAACTACTTAAGCCATAAGGTCGAACAGGGTCATGTGGTAGTATTGGAGTAGCCTTAGTACTGCGTTCTAGCTGGATCAAATTAATTTCTAGTTACCAAAACTTTAGTTACTTGTTACTCTTTTAGAAAGTGGTATTTTTACAACAGAAGCTATTTTTACGCTTGACTTTTCGTTTTAAATCTTTCTATGGTTTCTGATATTGGATCGGAGGTTGAATTCTTCACGAACAACTAGGGGTGTTCATCAACCGATCCAAACCAATTTAAACCGCGGTGTACGAACCGAAAAATCGATAACCGAATAAATCGAAAATCGAAAAATCCAAAACCGAAAAAAAATTGCAAATTTTAATTGGATTGGATCGGTTTTTGGATGAGTTGATGAAAACCGATCCAATCCAAACCGATCCAATATATTAATTTCTCTCTACCTACTTGGTTCTTTCTCTAATCATAGCCCAAAATTTTCTAAATCCAAGACCCATTAACCTATCAACTAAACCTAAGAAAAAATCTAGTCACATCTCATCAACAAAATTGTCTTTGTAGAACTTCATAACTCATTGCCTAAAAAAAAAATATATCATAGTTTACTAATGCTTTTGTATTTCAAAAAAAAAAAAATTTACAAAACCAATATATATAAAAGATGTTATTTGCACAATAATCATGAAATAAAATTTAGGATTTTCGAAAATCCGAAAACCGATCCAATCCAAACCGAAAAAAATTGGATTGGATCGGATCGGATTTGAAAAAAAATCCAAACCGAATGGATGATTATATAATCAAACCGAAGGGATTGGATCGAATGATTTTTGCTTCTAAAATCGATCCAATCCAGACCGCGAACACCCCTACGAACAAGTACAAAACAACGGCAAATGTCTTCTTTTTTGCTTCTTTTCATTACAATTTTGTATTTAGATTCCATTATTTTTTTTAAATTTTTTTTTTGAATATAAAATATAATTTTATTTATCTGATTTAAACTGTTGAACTAATAATCCATTATTTGAATCAATAACCTACTAATCCGGTACCGGTTCGATCAAGAGTTTCGTAACATTGCGTGGTGCCCTTTCCTGTCGTCCACTAATGCATGTGGACAAATTTAATTACTTCAGTGACTAGAAAAATGTGCAAAGGATGACCAAGTCAAGCGTCAGTGTGCCACTCAGCCGTGAAACGCGACAATTTGGCATTCAGGCGAGGAGAGTGGATAAGCTTAAGCCATCAAGATCGAACAAGGCCATGGTGGTATTGTAGCAGCTAGGGTGTAAGTGGATCGGCCGATCTACAAGAGTGTATTTGATCAATTACATATAATAAAATAGAATAAGTCCGAGTTTTTTATAAAGCCAAGTTAGAAAGTATGTTATAGGTTTTTTTACATGATAGACCTATAAGCCTACATGTCGAGACTATATTATATTATTTATTTTAAATAAAATAAAATTATTTGTAATAGTATCAAATAGTAAAAACTCAGTTAGTACATGTGAGATAAGTAGATGGTGAAAGGACCTAGATTCAATTTCCACCAATACTATCTTTAGGAGAGACATAAGATCTGTGTTAATCTCTACAGTAACGTTAGAATCAACATTTAATGCTCCAAAAAAAGTTATTGATACTTATCGTTTTATTCGTCATATTATCAAACAAAATGTTGATACATTGTCTAAGAGCCATTAAATCAATGACATCGTTATATATACCAGAGTCATTAAATCAAGACAAGGAGATGCCAAAACATCTTTTATATATATATATATAGAACAGCCTCTGCTCTAAACACAAAAACTAGAACAATATCAGAAGGGTAGCGTGAGTTGTAGAGAAAAATGGATAGAAGGCAGAGCAGGTTAAGGTTAGTGGTGGTGTGGTGCGTGTGGTGGCTGACATGCACAGGAGCAATGTTAGGGAGTTGTCAGAGTGCGAATAATGTGAGGGCTACATACCATTTGTACAACCCTCAGCAGATTAATTGGGATTTGAATGCTGCGAGAGCCTATTGCTCTACCTGGGATGCTAACAAGCCCTTGGCCTGGCGTAAAAAATATGGTTGGACTGCCTTCTGTGGACCTGTTGGGCCTCATGGCAGAGATTCTTGTGGCAAGTGCTTGAGTGTATGTCCTGTCCTCCCTCTCTCCACCTATATACATGCATATATATGTTTTCTTAATTATCTGGCTTCTTTAATCTTTGTGCATTATTATTAACTAACTACGTGCACAAAGATAATTGTTGATTAAAATTGGTGCTTACATAGGTGACAAATACTGCAACTGGAGCTCAGGCTACAGTGAGAATCGTGGACCAGTGTGCCAATGGAGGCTTGGACTTGGATGTCAATGTGTTCAAAAAACTGGACACTAATGGGAAGGGCAACGAGCAGGGTCACCTTACCGTCAACTACCGCTTTGTAAATTGCGGTGATTAATTGAGTGAAACCACTTTAATCTAGTGTTGGATACATGCAACACTTCATTCCCACCGCTCCCTAATAACACCATAAATAAAACAAGCGGTGTTACTTGGAACTACTTGTTCTTCCAATAATTCCATCCTCTACTATATATAACTTGCTAACTCTCTCTCTCTCTCTCTCTCTCTCTCTCTCTCTATCTCTCTCTCTTTTCCTTTTCCTTTTTTTGTTTTTGTTTTGGAACATCAATGATTTTGGCGTACTTAACCGTTGATCTTGTAAAAATAATTTGATCAATGGCTAGTGTGTTTTTCTGGTAACCTTCGTGAACAGGTCATCTTCGACATATTGGTAATTCGAAGTTAGGCATATTATTAATAAATAACAGCTTAATTGAACATGTTATACGTGCTCCCTATAAAATAGCTAGCTAGCTAGTTTGGTTTGGCTGCCGACATGGGCAAGCTAACTATCCACACACAACAAGACAACCAACGTGATTGATTGCCTTAGCACTTGGAGAACTACTTCGTTTCTAGCAATTCATTTCTTTGTAAAAGACAAAGAAGTTGTGCCGGATTTGCTGCTAAATGTTTTGTAGTCTTTAAGGTGGGTTTTTTTTTTTTTTTTTTTTACCCTTTTACCTTTCGTAAATTAATTAATAATCATTTTGTCCCTCATTTAAAATTATTTATCTTATTCTTTAATCGATTAAGTTAAGATTTAATCGATTAAATGGTCAAAACTGACAAAAATGATTGACTTGAAGATTTAATCGATTAAATCTTCAACTTAATCCATTAAATCTTCAATTATATCATTAGCATATACTCAAGAAAAATTATTGGAGAGCAGCAGAAGGTATGGAGATTTCTTTGGTAGTGAAGTGCAAAACGACGTTCGGCGATAGAAGAAGGTGCTTTGGTGCTGGCTTGTTCTTCCCTCCAACTCCAACTTCAACTCCAACTGGCCGGTCTCACCAACTAGTTACTGTCCTGATTCCCTTCTTTTTCTTTTTTCTTTTTTTATTTTTTCGTTGCTTGAATTGATTGTTTTGGTTCCTTCTAATATTCACTCATGTTTTTTTTTATCGTCTGCTTCATTTGTTTGTGTTTTGATTTAATTTCAGTTTTATATAAGTAATATACTATAATCATCGTTTGAGAATCTGGATATAGTCTTATGGTACTCCGTTGAGTTGAGTCATGCAACTAGCTAACTACCTCTCCGGGGGTAGTAAAAAAACACTTGATGTCAAGATTGGGGCTGACGAAGAAGAGGCAGTTGAGTTTTCCCAGGAGAAAAAAATGAGGTAGTAGATGCTAATGATGTAATTCTTGAGGAGGATGGTCAATTATCATTGTTACATGAGACACTGGGTGTTGCTCAAAGAAATCAAGGTGAGGAAAATGGAAAAATTTCTGTAAGGAGGATGTTCTAGACACTTCCGGCACCAGGGATAATGGAAATGTTAAAAATGTTAAAGACTGTTGGGGATTTAATTTAAATTCAAGATTTAATCGATTAAAACTTGTCAATCATTTTTGCTCGTTTTGAACTCTTAATCGATTAAATCTTCAACTTAATTGATCAAAGAGGACAGATTGGTAGACTAGTTTTGAACGAGGGACAAAATAGTTATTAATTAATTAATGAAGGGTAAACGGGTCAAATACCCCTTTAATGTGCATATATTAATAATATGGCAAAAAGAAGTATCCTTTTGAATGACACAAGCTTGTGTAATTTTAGGTGTTTTACACAAAGTACGACTGATCGTACTTTGTGTAAAACTAAAAAGTTTTTTTTTTCTTTCCAGTCACATCGCTGACGAAAAAAAAAAGTTACTTTTCAAAATTATATAGAATACGACCGGTCATACTCTGTGTAAATCACTAAAAGGACACAACTTGTGTTCTTTTGAATTACACACACTAGACCCTAATAATATAATTCGATAATTATGCATATATTTTGAAGCTCATAATTGGAGTTTTCCTTAAATTGAAAATAATATCATTAAACATTTAAAATCTAATGCCTTGTAACATTATTTTAAATCATTTTCTCTCGAACCCATAACCTGGACTGGAGCTACTTCTCTATGTTTCTTGACCTTTTGCCCAACCCTTCTCTAGAGAGTAGAAACTAGAAACTTCGAATGTGGAAACTGTCAATGAAATCGCAGATAGCATCGCAGAAACTTTTTCTAAACCGCACGTATATGGTTGCGAAATTTAAGGGACTAATTCACAAGTGCTCTGAGACATGCATTGTTGAAAGTATAATTGAAGTTTGCTGCAAAAAACGGAAAGCAAAATGAAGACCGGCTTCATAATCGTATCTTTCTGACTCCAGCCTGGAAGTTTCAAACTTCAAAGTAAATTATTATTGCCATCGTCATCAATCAATTTCTTCCGCATACTTTCAACGAAAATCTTTGATTGATCAGAATGGATTCCCTAGTATTAATCAAACAAACAATATCTAGGATGCTCAATTGGTAGTCAGGGAGTTGAGTAAATGTAAAGAATCATCTCGATCCAAAATATTAAAGTATTGAGTGAGAGCCTTTTTAAGTTATTCTCTAATACACTCCTTCACTTGCCATGTAAAGAATCATTTAAACCTAAAACTTGTTGGGTGAATACTTTTTTAATGATTTATATTATTTTTTAACACGCCACTCACACGAGAGCTCACTAGGTTCGTAGATATTACACAAGCCCAATTTTTTGGCTTACGTTGTACTTATTTAATTCCACTAGAAAGTGGAGGAAGGTGAGAATCGAACTCGTGACCTTATGGTCGCTGAAGTTCTGATACCATATAAATAACTATTTCAACCCAAAAGCTTAAGTTGTTGAGTGAAGGCCAATGGATGGTTTTATATACTTTTCTAACACGTCCTTTCACACGAGTGCCCACTAACACGAAGGATGGATAATGCGCACGAGGCTCTGATATCATCTAAAGAACCAACTCAACCCAAAAACTTAAACTGGTGGGTGAAGGCTTTTTAATAGTTTATACAATTCTCTAACACTGAGTGAAAAGGAAAAGGTCTTGGCTTCATCTCTAAGTACTCACCCCGCATTTCGGATTAGTCTCATAACCGGCTCAAAGAATCAAAACTTGTGGAGATACCGGAGGGAGCCAACTCGCCTTAAAAAGGTAATTAGGTTTGGGTTAACTTAAAAACAAAATATATCTTAATTCTGTAGCTGGATTCCGAAGAGAGAAAAAGAAAAACAATTGAGTTTTATTTTTTCAAAACACCGAGTACCTTTCTTAATAGATTGCTTATTTTTATTTTTTTGGTACAAGAAAGGGGTAGTCCCAACAAAACAGAGAAAAAGAGGTTTGTTGGGTGAAGATCCTTTATAAAAGAGCATAAACTTCCTGATGAAAATTAGGAACTTTTCAAATCCTAATCATCTTAATCTTAATCCACCACTACTCTTTGGTAGGATTAAGATCCTTTATAAAATCATATTTAAAATACATAATGCAAAAGAGTGGTTTGAGAAGAAGAATAGTCAGAGAACATAAAAAATATGTGCATATAAGCCAATTACCAAAAATAAATAAATGAAGTAATACATCACCAAACTTTCCAAAAAATGGAGTAACTTTTGGCTAGGTTCTGGATTGAGAAAAATAAAAATAATGTCTCATTTAAATAAGAAAAAAGAAGAACTAAATATGATGGCTAATCAACCCCTTGATTAGTGTCCTATCACTTCATAATTATATATATATATATATGAGAAATGATCCTTTGACACCGATGTCAAACTTTTAAGTTTGACACCAAATCCTAACCGTTTATTTTCGTAATCTGACGATTATCATTTATTGAGAATCAAACTTATTAATTAATTAGTAATTCTCAATAAATTATAACTGTCGATTGGCGAAAATCAACAGTTAAGATTTGGTGTCAAACATCTAAGTTTAACACCAATATCAAAGGATCTCGCCGTTATATATATATATATATACATACATATATATATGTATATATGTATATATATATATATATATATATATATATATATGTATATATATGGGGCAAGATATTCTTACACTGGTGTACTATGTAGCACCGATACCGACACGGGACACATGACACGATACGACACGATACTTCGACATGTTAATTCTAAAAAATGTTAGATTTCGACACGTTAGGACACGTTTTTATATTAAATAATATTTTTAATTTATCTAGTGTGTATTATATTTAATATTCAATAATTTAACAAATAAATGAAATTAAACTTATAATATTAATCAATTTTAAAAAGAAAAATAAGATATCTCAAATATTTATATTAAACTCAATAAAATGGTAATTGTAATCCAACGAATCTAATAGTTGAAACTAAAAACTCAACGCAATGCAACCTTTGAACTTTTTTTGAATTTCTATAACGTGTGTTGGAGGGTCGGGAAGTGTCGGAGTGTCGGAGAGTGTCAGAAAGTGTCGGACACAACACGTCAGAGTTTTTGAAGTGTCGGTGCTTCATAGCCGGTGTAAGAGTTAGAAGTCTTACACTCAATCTTGACTATTGATCCCCTTGACCACTTGTATCTAAGGGCTCACATTTCTCAAAAATTTGATCCGTTAGATATAAATGAAATCAACGGATAAGATTGAGAGTGTAACTTATACTGGTGTAAAATGATCCTTACCCTATATATATTTTTTACACATGTAGCGCTATTGGCGCGCCACGCCCATACACATAGCGGCGCTAAAAGCGGCCAACACACACACATTAGAGCTTTAAAAGCCTTTTTTTTTAATATTACATTTGTTGCATGCTCTTGGGACATGGGAGAGGGATACAATCCAATCTCTATCTAATAAAATTCAAATCTTAGTTATCAAAGGCAACTTTCGAGTCTCATTACCAGTTTTGGTAAGTAAGTTAATCACTTTAAAGAGTCTTTTAAAATTTAAATCTATGATATGGCTAATTATACATTAATACATATGTATCCAAAAAAACAATACATTAATACATACTCCCTTATTTTATATTTAAGCCAGTCCATAAATTTAATAAGTAATCAAAAATGAAATTACCTAAAGGATTTAATTTACCCTTATTTATTTTTTTGGAAATATTCCAATCGGTTCATTGCTTCGCAATTAATCCGATTCGGGGCGGGCCCAGGATTAAGGCTTTAAACCCCTCCCAAAGGTGGTACTGGAGATATTCGAACACATGCTCTCACCCACCTACTTAGCTCCCATGCGCCAACTGAGCTACCACTATTAGGTAATTTACCCTTATTTATTGTTACAATAGATTAATGCTCTATAATTGAATACATAATTGCATTGTATTTTATAAATAAATAATTACACGATAAATTGATTTTAGAATGTTTTCGTAAACTTGTACATAATTAGTTATAAATTATACCACATTTATTTATGTTAGATAAATATAATATAAAAATTATTGATTAGGCCTTCATTTATAAATTTGAATTGTTAGTTTGAATTAGTTATTTGATCATGGTATTGGAGTCTCCATGACCATGAGGTCATGAGTTCAATCTTCACCGCTTTCCACTTTCTAATCAAATTAAGTCAGCATAAGGTAGAACAAAAAAATGGGCATGTGCAATATTATGTTTCAAGCTCAAAGGACTCTTGTCTGAGGAGGCGTGTTAGGGAGATATATATAAAACTATTAAAAAAATCATTACTTATTCTATGACTACGGGGTCATGATAAGTTTCAAAGACACTATGTTTTTAAGTCAAATATAGTTCAAATAATAACTAATATGATTAAAAATATAGTGTTAGTTAATAAAATCTAAAAGATATTAAAATACCAACAACTAGATAAGATTCTAATCCATTTTCATACTGTTTCAGGTTGTTTCAGGTTTAAAGTAACAAATCACCAATTCTAAGGGATAAAAACAGTTGCAAAGGATAAAGATCAAGAAAAATAAAGAATTAATCAATATTAATTCTTGTTCAGCGAGCTGATCCATATATTAAAAAGCCCAGTTTATTTCTTTAAAAGGACACATGAGGGCTTGTTCTATTTTATTCGGAAGACGGAAGACAACAGAGCTCATGATGGTTGCGGCTTAGGAAAGAGAAAAGATCCGTTCCGGACCTGAGGAGCGGAAAAACGGTCAAAGTTTCATCGTGGAGATCGGGTTTAATGTTTCTTTTGAGAATCTTTATAGTTTCTTTTTATATTTTAATTCTGTTATTATGACTATGCTTAGCTAAATTTCTTTAAGTAGTTAGGGCGAGACGGAACCAATGGGTTCTTAAATGCTGTTTGTCTTTCTTATAATTTATATTCATGATTTAAAGTTATGCAATCATTCTGTTTCTTATTGATTAACTTTATTTTTAAATTGATCACTCGTATATAAACATGTGAGTCATGCATGACATTAGGAATGTTGGTATATTGATTCCGATTGGTTGATTGCTAGAGTTTGTATGATCTAGGGATAGACTTATGAATTCTATAACTGTAAGGTTCTTGCGTTAATGCTTATTTTATGAAAACGTACTAAGGGATTACGTTTTTGAGTGAAATAAAGGATCAGATTACCAAATGATTGAGGTTTAATCAAATATAGAAAGAACTGTTAATAATTGGATCTTGAATGTAATTATAAGAATGGGTAAACTAGTTTAGAAACCATTGGGGAAGTTAAGTCCTAGCTACGTCTTTTATAAAAACTTAAAATTCAATTTTCTAACATTTATTAATTCTGAATTTAATTTCTTGAATATTGAAAACGAAAAATAAGTAGTTTAAAATTTTTTTTAATTAAATTAAAATATTCTCAACTCAATCTTTCACGATCGATTCAACTTTAATTAAATAGATAAATTAGTGATTGGTCATCAGTTCTCGTGGGATCGACAACTATACTCTATCACTTTATTACTTGTACGACCAGGTGTACTTGCCAGAATCGCAACAGGTCACGAGTTTGATCCTCACGTCTCCTTGTCCATACTTCAAGCCGAAAAAGATGTGTTAGAAAAATATAATATAAAAATCGTTGATACAATTTATTACAGCTTTGAGTTTTCCTTGTTCAAAATAAGATGTCACGAACAAGGTGCGTTAAAAACTATGGAATAAGTAATGTATAATTCCAATGTTATGTAAAGAAACAAAATTAGTTACATATATAAGCATACCTACCGCGCAAATCAATTGAAAGGCAAACTCATAAAGATTATATTAACAAATTATCTATGGCAAAGCTTAGGCTATGCGTGTTGTTGTTGGTCTGTGTAGTGGGTTTGGCCTCTGGTCAAAGTGCTAACGATGTGTGGGCTACATATAATTTATATGAACCTGAGCAGCATAACTGGGACTTACTCGCGGTGAGTGCATTTTGCGCCACTTGGGATGCTAACATGCCCTTCTCATGGCGTAGCAAATATGATTGGACAGCTTTCTGTGGACCTGTCGGCCCTCAAGGCCAAGCTGCATGTGGCAAGTGCTTGATGGTATGCATCAAATTCTCATTCCTCGTTAAACAAATTAAATAACCTAGCTCCTTAATTAGTAATACATGTATATATATATATATGCATACATGCTACCAATGCCTACCATCTAATTAATTTTTATTCATTTACTTTGTCCTTTTGCTTGATCAAGAAAGCATAATAATAATTTATTGATGATGGGTGGTTGCAGGTGACAAACACTCGAACGGGAGATCAGCAAATAGTGAGAATTGTGGATCAGTGCAGCAATGGGGGCTTGGATTTGGACATTGGTGTGTTCCAAAGCCTCGACTCGGACGGAAATGGGAATGCTCAAGGCCATCTTATCGTCGATTATGACTTTGTTGACTGCGGTGACTAAACTATTAGTTGTCTTTCTAATTAATTGTAGCAAGTACAAGCGCATGACTTTATCATAAAAAAGAAAAAAAGAAAAAAAGGAAAAAAGTCATGTTAGCTAGTTACCATGAAATTTGAAGGAAGAATGTTGCTCTATTTCATGTTTCCTTTTTATCTTTCTTTTGAAGCTCGAAATCAAAGTTGCGTTATTGAGTTAAGGATGCATATATAAAGTGTTTATTTGGTTTAGATTCATTAGTTCATGAATTTGACCTTTAATATCGTGGGAAACTAAATTTTATTAAAGTTAATCAAGAGTTGGTTTTATAGAATTGATGCTAATATGAGGTCAATTCAATAATATATATATTTTTTAATTAATGTTATAAGTTATCTTTAAAAGAATATATTCCCAATTCAATTCAATCCCGTACTGACATTGTTGATGGTGGGCTTATAATATTGGACTAGCTAAGCTCGGGCTTGGTACATTATTGTATGGGCCCAACCTTACTACAGAATGGCCAATGCATGCATGATGACTATAACCTGGTGGAGTGTAGCGGTGTGATTGTGATCATTCGAGATGTTTATTTTGTTTTGTTGTAATCAATTTCAGCCGGTTTATAATAAAGAATATATCATATAAGAAACAGACAACCGAGGTGTTTGGTCTTTTTCCTCTGTTTTTTGGATTAGTCCCAGTTCTGTTCCACCAAAAACAACTTAAAAAGGATAACATTATGTTCAACGCCGAATTAAATAGGATGAAACAAGACTAAATTGATAAGTTTATTAGTTAACTAACAACGGGTACTTTCACATTATTATTATTATTATTATTATTATTATATGTGTGTGTGAAGGATATTATAACAATCAATTAATGTTACTATCAATGTTACTACCAATCAATTTCACCGTTAGATCAATTATGTTGATCCAACAGTTATATTTATTTCTATCTTTGTATGGTCATGATTCTCTATATTCAATACTTTATATTTATTTTGTATGATCATGATTTCTCATATTTAACATAGGAAATCATGACCATACAAAGATGAAAATAAATATAATCGTTGGATAACGTAATCGATATAACGGTGAAATTGATTGGTAGTAACCTTGGTAGTAACATTAATTAGTTGTTATAATATCATACCTCACACACACACACACACATATATATATATATATATATATATATACGAGACATAAATATTTTTTACAACTTATCCTAATCATTGATTTTCTTTAATTTGATGGTTGTAATTTATTAAATTACAATCATTACTAAATTATTAATTTTTGATAAATTAAAATTATCATATAAACAAAAATTAATAATTCAACTGAAAGTCAAAATTTTTAATACCAGTTTTAAATGATGCCCATATATATATAGAACCGGAAAATAATTAAGCCTGAAGGGAAAAAAAACAAAATAGTGCCAAGAGTAGCCGCCCTTCATGTATAATTATACATTTGATCCAGTAACGGATAAAACTATGATCCTATGCCTATTCCATGTGATTTATTAGTTACATTGATGAGATAGAATCTAGCACTCATAAGTCAACTACCGTGTTAGAGATTCTTAGGCATTTCTATCAATATTTTGTACCCAAAATGTTGGTTTTCACACTAGCTAGCACCTTATTAACAAGAACCTCAAGTATATCTCTCTAGAACTTTAACAGCCGCTTGTGCTTGTTGTATTCATTATATCAGACAACAACATGATTAAATCATAATTAAAAAAATTAAAACTGATAATGGTTCATAACTAAAGTTAATATTTGTTTTTTTTTTTTTTTTACATAATTTACTCATTGATTTTCGGAGGTTCATAACTAAAGGGGGGGAAAAGGGTTGTGAGGGCTTAGGGTAACAGCTGTCAAAAATCCAGGGACGCAAACTAAATAGTGTTCTGCGTGAATGAATACTAAATAGTAATAATCGAACACAGTTGAAGTCAAATGTCAATGCACACACATACACGCACGCCACAACAAGCGTTTGTTTGTTAATACTGTATGTATGGTGTGTGTGTCTTCTCTTCCTCTTTCTCTTCATGCTCTGTCTCTCTCTTTCTCGTGTGTCTCAGTCCAACATCAACATCCAAACCCAACAACAACAACGGTGCCTCCTTCATCTGTACGTAATTTTCCTACAAATTACAATCCAAACCCATCTCACGATTTCGCCCCCAAAACTGGCCGCCACTTAATTTCCCTCGTCAGATCCACGTCCATTCCGAATACAACAAACAAGAGAGTGGTGTGTTGAGATTATTTCACTCTGCATCCGTGTCCTGGATTCGAATGCAACCTTAATTATCGTGTGACACTTTTAGTTTTAGCGACATGGTGGTGAAAGTTAAGAGAGATACGCTACGAGCATGCATGACATGCCCTCTTTGCCATAAGCTCTTCAAAGATGCTACCACCATCTCTCTCTGCCTTCATACATGTTCGTCTCTCTTCTCTTTTCTCTTTTTTTATTCACTCCTTTTCAATTGCTTCTGTTCGTTTTTGTTTAACGTCGCTCTAGTTTTTACCTATATCTCTGCATTGCATTCTTTCTTAACCCTTCATGGCTCTTTGCTTATCTTTCCTTGATTTGACCTTGCCATTGTAAATTATATCCAATTAGCTTGACTTTCATGCTTTGGGTTTTTATTGTAGTTCCTTAATTGTTTCTTAATACTGTATGATTGATGATTTGGATATTTTGGGTTCCCCAAACATTCATTCTAATCATTGATGATCCAGATTCCTGGTCTTAATTATATTATGGCATAAGGGTTTTGGGCCTTTTTGGTTTTGCTGCTATAGCGTGAAGAGTACATTCAACAGTTGTTTTTGTTACAGTGATGGAGCAATTGGACTGACATGATAGCTGAAACATCTTTTACTTTTCTGTGCTTTATTTGTTGTTTGTTTGGGTTTCTATGATTTGACGGGTAAGGAATGGTCATCCCCCGTTTCCACTCAGAGTTTAAGGTGGCGCACTGTTATGGACTTTCTTGAGGAACCGTAGATGCAATACAATTTAAGAATGTGTTTATTTTATAATTCGAACATCACATTATTTTTATTACATTCCTGAGTTACACACACGCACCTTCTTGCACATCTTTTGAGATCATTTGTCGACAATTTCAAGTATGTTCTGTACAATGCATTGAGCAATGAACCCTGGTCCAGTTTGCAGGAAGTGCATATATGACAAACTCTCGGATGAGGAAATGGATTGCTGTCCAGTGTGCAATATTGATCTAGGTTGCCTTCCAGTGGAAAAACTCAGGTCGGTTGCTGTCTTTGATTTCCAATTTATTATAGCAATTTGTGTAACTTATGACTTTTTTGCATTGAACTAAACAAGAATGCAGCTGAAATTTCTGGCTGTAGACTTATTAATATCTGTTTGTTCGTTTATTCTGCATTTTCTTCTCCTCCCTTCTCTCAGTATGTGTTGTTTTTTGTACAAGAGAACATGTGCAGTTAGACATTTACCAGTGCTTATGATCAACCTCTACCTTTTTCTTTTTTGTCATAAAACTTTATTATCTAGTACGATCACATGAAACTTGTTGCCTTAAATCTCTTTCACAATGTATTGCTGCGTTACTTGGTTAAACTCCTCCTCTTTCTTTAAGTAGGATTCCTACTTTTCTTTTCTTTACTTTCAGATATGTTAATCATACTATTTGCTGCATCTGTCTAAGTTTTTGTAACAGATATTTGTTTGACTGTTGACCTAACATAACCATTTGGAGACTGAATTTGTTTTGGTAAAAATAGTATCATCTGTTATATTTTACAAGGCCTCCTTCTGCCTAAAGTGTAAAAGACTGCCAATAGCTTAGTATTTTCATGGAGATTGTATCTTATATGTGCATTTCATCTGCATCTTGTGATTTGTGATGAAGACTAATGTTTTTATTATTTGATGGATCTTCGAAATCAGAGTGACTTCTTCCTCATCTTCAAGCATGTTAGATTTGAATAAGTTATTCTTAAAAGGATTGCACGCATAAATTGTTTTATAGAACTTAAAAGCACGCTATCTAGTATACCTGTTGGAAGATCTACGCGAAATAATCATGGGTTCCTTTTATTTGCAGGCCAGACCATAATATGCAAGATCTAAGGGAAAAAGTATTCCCTTTTAAAAGAAGTAAAATCAAGGCCCCAGAAGTTTTGTCTTCAATATCCTTACCTGCAAAAAGGAAGGAAAGATCACTTTCGTCATTGGTGGTTAGTGCTCCAAAAGTTCCAATGCAAACTGGCTTTACAGGAAAGAGAACAAAAATGAGTACTAGAAAGGCTTCTGCTTTACGTGGATGCAGTTTTATTCTTGAAGAATCAATAAAGAAGGAAGAAACGAATGGTGAAGATAATCATAATACAGTAAGCTAAATCTTACCTGATTCATCAAACATGACTTCTCAAAATGAAAGTCAGGTGTGGGTTATGGGGGCACTAATACTTGTGTTACTTTTCTGTTTGTGGTTGGACTTTTGCTTGTTTCTACGTGGCATTAATTAAGCCTCCTTTTCATGTGATAATGATCATGTATAATCATAATTCATTATATTGTTGTAGGATTCTCCCATGGTTGAGCCTTCTAAGAAGCATAAGCCCAATGAAGATACAGAGAACAGTGTGGAACTTACAGAAGGGAAGGTTGATCTCTGGACACCATTGAACTGTCTTGTGGAAGCTGCCAACAGAACAAAGTCCTCCAGGTCAAATTCACAAGCAATTCCTCTTGTCAAATTAGAGTCTCCAACTACTGCTCATGGTGGACTAGATACACTTGAAGTTACAACGAAAACAGAGCTACCTGCTTCTGTCCAGAGAACCAAAAATAAGGATAATGGACATAAAACAATATTTGGAGATGACAAGGATGCTAACAGCTTGCCTTCAGGACCAGCGAAGCGAAGAAGGTTGCGTCCTGCTGGTCAGAAAAGAGTTGCAGCATCTGAGATGTCTGCCTCAGCCCCAGTCATGCTAGATGCCACTGGGGGCAAGTGCAACAGAAAAAACAATCCTATATGGTTTTCATTAGTTGCTTCAGAGGACCAGTAAGTTAGTTATTTATACCCGAAAATCTTATTAATTATGAAGTGTTGATCTTCTATGGACCTTAAAGAAATTGATGTTATTATTCAGGAAAGGAGATGTTCCCTTGCCACAGATCTCAGCCTGTTACTTAAGAATAAAGTACGTCTTCCTACTCTACTTACCTTTCTGTTTATCTGATTTGTTTATATTTTTAAAGTTTTAAAGTTTTCCTTGATTTTGCAATTAAGTGAATACAAATTTGGCCTGTGAATTGAACAAATATATTTTTTTCTTATTTTGTTGTGTCAAAATTTGGCTAACGGTCAATAATAAGATACAAAAAAGTGTTTTTGCTTTTATATGGTCTCTCATGATTTCATAAACTGCTGAGGATTAAATTGCAACACAAAAGGGAAAAAAATAAAGTTTATGCTTTTAAAGATGCGACTGACAGATGTTCAGGCAAACGCTTCCATGCTGCAATCTAAGAAAGTATGATGTTCAGGCAGCTAATAGTGCAAATCAATCTCCCATATTTTTTTAACTTGATTTTGGAACAGTTTTCTGTGAACAACCATTGATTCACTAAACATCAGATTAATGATCATTGTCTAAGTCATTCCTTGATATGATTTTGCTGTGATATTCTGGACGGAAGATGCACAGATTGATGATCACTGTCTGAGTCACAGATTTAGCAAAGTGGAACACAACTTCCATATGAATCATTTGAAATGTGTTGATTTTTCCTGCCTCTTTCTTTCTATTGTTGCTTGCCCTCTTTCTTTCCTCTTTCCTTTCTCTTCTAATTCTCTTGAACATATTTTCTTTTTCATGATAAGGATTTGTACTTCATAATTGTGTAATTCTTTGTTTCTGACCTCATCACAGGGATGGTACTGTGCCTGTCTCATTTATTCAAAAGTACCTTGTGAAGAAACTTGATCTTGCCAGCGAGGCAGAGGTGAGTTCATTATATCACTTCCTTCTAGGAACTAAAATGGTTGGCACATTCTCTCTCTCTTTTCTGCTTTCTCTTACTTATTTTGGTTCAAGGTTGTTATTATAGTAAGAGAGTGTGGTCATAAATTAATCGCTGTATAAGGTGTCTTTTTTTGTTATTTGTGAAAGATTGATCCAGTTGGCCAAGCAACATAGTGCAAGCCTTTTGGACATTGTAGGCTATCATTTGAAATAGTACAACTATGAATGCTAGAATTTAGGGTCTGTCTGAGAATTTTATTGATTTTGTATTTTCTACATAATAGAAAACAGCAAATAGTACAAATATGCACAGCTACTGAGCACAACAATAGAGTCTCCCACCATTGCCACATGTCCATGCGCCCACACTGCTATGTAAAGAAAATGAAATATTGGAAACTAAATTCTTGTTTTGAAGTTTTAAAGCCAACTCACCAAGTAGGAATTAGGAACTGAACTAACATTTGAAGGTACTGATAATATGACTCTTTTTCCTTAATTACAAGGTGAAACCAGTACCTGAATTCCCATATATTGGTCTGAATTTTGTTGTCTCAGATACTACCCTTCTTCTTTGTTGAAAGTGTTACGGATATTTCAATATTAAGGTTGCAGGCCATGAGATAGCTGTTGATTTTGATTGACTACTTCAATTGGCTTATGATTTGAACTGTTTGTTTTGACAAAAATTATGATTACCACATATTTTTTTTTCAAAGGAAAAATAACGAATGAAGTTATGCATAAGCAAATATTGGCTGGTGCATTATTGATGCCTGGTTTGTTACTGCTTTGTAATTTGTACAGGTGGAAATAATGTGCCGGGGTCAGCCAGTGCTCCCATCTCTGCAGCTGCATAACTTGGTAGATCTGTGGTTCCGGACAGCATCAACCTCAAAAAAGATACCAGCATCTTTGGGGTCCTCAGCTAAGGATTTTGTGATGGTTTTATCATATTGTCGAAAGGCCTCGTCTCCTTGAGATGGTACCCTATTCTATTTATATCATTTTGCCTTTCACTACTTTACATACATCTTTAAATTTTTTTATAGCATTCTTTCGGATATTCCTGTTCATTTAGTTTCTACCATGCGACGAATCGGTTCTTATTTTTTTCGCTCATGACCTGAAAAGGTGTACCCTCCAATATTATGGCATCTGCATTATCTGCTGTTGTTCTTAGGATCATGAAACATTAAATATTTCCTGTTGATGTAATGATGTCTTACCCTTGGTAAGAATCAAAATGAGAGTGGTTATAAATCAGAAAAACGCACGGGAGGGAAGCTATGCAAGACAGCAATTAATAGTGATTGATTTATAGGATCCATTTAAATGTTCTAGTTGCATTTGTTGCGTCTTCAATGGGAACCTTATATTGTGACTGGAGACACAACCACACCACTTTCCTATGTGAAGTTTCGTCATATTGTTGCTGGAAAAGTTATTCAATTATGCTTGTTATTATCTCAACTCATTTGTTTCCATTCACCTCCTTGGGGATGGATGTTTGATGGTTCCAATTTTCATTGCAAAGTACTCTTCCAAAATTTCTTTAATTCAAGCTTCAATTTTCTAAACGAAATGCTTAATATACATTAATACTATTAAAATGTATAAGGTTATTTTGAAATGAGAATCAATTTGATTAAGATCAAAAAGAATATTTTGATTAAAAAAGGAAATTTAAGTTCTGTAATATTTGTCTAATCGAAGTGGATTGTTACCAACACATTTTTTTAATACTTCTTTTAACACACTCTTTATTATTAGGTTATGTATTATAGTACTTCAAAAGACAAAATTTTAAAGCAAGTGTGACGATCAAAATGCCATACTTTTTTTTGCAAAAAATTACCTGATTGCCACATTTTGTAAAAAATATTCCAAAATGTCACGTCACCTAACTCGCTACAACATCTGGCAAGTTAGGTGTGAATACATGGCATAAGGTGCATGGCCACGTAAGTTGCTGTGCAGTGCAGCGAGATTACGTGGCATCAGACATGCTATGCAGCATAGCATATTTAGTCAGCATGTCTGACACGTGGCAAACGTGCTATGCAACATAGCATGTTTAGTCAACTTTTCTAAAACGTGGCAGACATACTATACAGTATAGCATGTTATGTGTGTGTCATAAAATAATTTAAATTAATATAGAATTAAACTAAAATAAATAACAAACATAAATTACATTGAATTCATTAACACTCCTAAATTAAATTACATTACTTAAAATTCAAAAAAAAATAACTTAACTTAAACTAAATCAAATGAAATTAGTTAACACTTCTAAAAATAATTAATTAATAGTTATAAAATAATTTAAATTAATATAGACTGAATTAAACTAAAATAATTAACTAACATAAATTATATTTAATTCATTTAACACTTCTTAATTAAATTAAATTACTTAACCGTTCAAAAAAAATTAACATAACTTAAACTAAATTAAATGAAATTAATTAACACTCCTAAAAGTAATTAATTAACAGTTATAAAATAATTTTTTATAGCAGTTATAAAATAATTTAAATTAATATAGATTGAATTAAAATAAAATAATTAATTTAAATTATTTTAAGGATACCAAAAGAAATTAAATTATTTTTAAAAGTGTCAATTAATTTCATGACACATACGTAACATATTATGCTGCATAACACGTTTAGAAAAGCTGACTAAACATGCTATGCTGCATAGCACATTTGCCACGTGTCAGACAAGCTAACTAAACATATTATGCTGCATATAAGGGTGAAAGTGGGCTGTGCCGGCCTACAGAGGCCTACGGCCTAGCCTATATCAAGCCAGACATGGCCAACTATATATAGGTAAATGGAACAGGCCCGGAGTTTTAAGAAAAATCTATTTAGGAAGCAGGCCCTAGGCCTTTTTTACATGCCGAGCATATAACCTATAGGTCGGCCTATATCATATTATTTATTTTAAATAAAATAAAATAAAATTATTTATAGTAGTACCAAATGATGATAGCTTAGTTGGTGCATGTGAACTGAGTAAGTGATGGAGGACCTAGGTTCGATCCTCACCAATACCACCTTTGGGAGGGGCATAAGATCTGTACCAATCTCTACAGTAGCATCAGAATCAACATTTAGTGACGGAGGAAGAGTTATTGATGCTTATTGTTCTAGTTTGGCTGAAAATACCATCTAAGCTTTAATATGTGGTGAAGATTGGCTACGTAATAAGTATGGCTTGAAGAAAAACAAAAGGTATAAAAAAAAAATTCTTAATCTTATTTTCTTTCTATTCTTTAATCTTGTTTTTTGTTTTCTACATTTATAAATTGTTTGCCAACTTATGTAACCTTGGAATTGTATTTGCATGAGAGCGAAGAAGATGAAAAGCTTTTAGCTACTACAAGCATCATGATGTGTTTGTATGATTCATAAAGTTATTTTAATTTACATAGTATGGATTGGTTTGCTGAATCTGATGAAATAAATGTTATTTAGTTTGGGCATTTTGTTTTTGAAAGTGACTTAAATGCAGATTGTGATAAGTTGTTGTTATAATTCATGGTTCTGTTGGGACGTTGAAATTATGATTTTTGTTTTAACAACAGAATTTGAGTATTTTGTGAAGTTGATTCATGATTCTGCTTGGAAATTAAAAATTAACAGACTAACGGGCCAAATCAGACCATTTGTTTTTTATAAATAAGCCAAGTCAGACTAACAGTTAGACTCGTACTATGCTATCGGGACAGGTCAAATTGGAATTTTTAGCATAGGCTTGGGCTTTTCGGGACAAAACTCAGCCCAGCCCACTTTCACCTCTAGCTGCATAGCATGTTTGATGTCACGTAATCTTGTTGCACTGCGCAGCTGGGCATATGGCCATGCACCTTCTGCCACGTGTTGTAGCGAGTTAGGTGATGTGATATTTTGAAAAAAAAATTTGCAAAGTGTGGCATTCAGGTGATTTTTTGCAAAAAGTGTGACACTTTGATCATTGTCTACAAGTGTAAAATGTGGTACAAAATGTAAAAAAAAAAAAAAAAAAATTGTTCAGAAGAATATGTTGTTAATCTCGGAATGATAATTAGACATCCTTAGGCTGGAAATGAGAAAGGAATTTTAGAGCAAAAAATAAAAAGGAAGAACCAGATAGACATCCTCCTCTTTCCTTCTCCTATTCGGATATCTTGTAAACAAAAAATAAATTAAAAATATAAAATTACAATGATTAAATTGTATTATATTTTTTAAGTATCATTACAAGATTGAACAACATTTTTTATCCTAATAATATATTATAATTATTTTCCCCCTTTTTTCGTTTTGGTTAATGAACTGTCATTAAATATTCAAATTCGCTCATAATTCATCTTCATATATATTAAATTAGACTATATTCTTTTAAGAGTAATTAAATCTCTTAATTTTTTTCTTCTTTGAAAAAATGGTACATATCATTCTTAACTTTTTCTTCTTTTAAGTTTTGCATTTAAATTCTTTTTGAATTAATCATGTATATTTTCTTATAATATTATATATTTTTCTCATAACTATTTTTTTCTTTTAATTTAAACCTATATTTTACCTGAATTCTTCTAGTTTTTGAAATTTTATTTTGAGAGATTAGTTCTTAATAAGTTATCAAATATTGGGCTTACTTTCAAAAAAATTCTTAATCTTTAGCAAAGTAGTAATTTTACTCATTCAATTCAATCTAATATAAAATCAAATTTAAAAATGAAAAATCTTGTTCCAAACCACGTGGAGAGAGGAGAGTGAGTACATCGCATTACCATTTGGTGTTTATAAACAATGGGGGTCAACTTGGCCGTGTTACAGGTGTCTCTGTCGGAGTCGGGATCGAAAACCCTAAACTGAAAATTGAATCGACAGCATGCAGCAGGTAGTGAAAAACCCTAAATTGAATCACTGTTTCTTGATATTGCATCATTTTATTTGTAACTGATTTTATGTGAAATCGCATCTCTTTCTCATCCGAAAAGGGCGGAGGATCTGAGACTGAAGTGACATGGGAGGACCAGCAGAACATCAACAAATTCGAAAGGTTGAATAATCGCTTTCACGAGCTTGAGGATGAGATCAAAATCGCTAAGGTAATCTATATTCAAAACTTTAATCTTCTTATCCAACTCTTTAATTTGAATTATTTGTCTGCGTTATCATTCCTTGAGTTTAGTATATGAGTAGAATAATGCATCTTTTAAGTTCAAAGTTGGTGGAGTTGAAAATCAAAGATATCAAGGGATATGCACAGGTTTTATTTACTTTTTTTTGTTTAGTTATGTAATTGTAGAGACCGACTTCAATTTATGGCTAAATCCCTATATGCTTAAAAACTTAGGACTAGCTCAAAGAGTTGAACTTCTGTATATACTTCGATTTTTGTATTTCATTCTTTAAGAATGTTATCAATATCTCTCCTTGGCTGCATGCCTTATGGAGAGACAGGACCTCAATGGATTTTTGCTCTGTGTCAATATCAAAACTCTCCCTGGATCTACTTGACCCTTGCAGAAAATACACTAGGTATGAATTCATCAGGAATTAAGCATCTCATTTGAAAAAAGCTTAACCTTTTACCTAATCTTCAAGCTCTTCAGCAGTGGACTAAAAGGAACTACTATGCAACCTGCAAATTTGATTATAAAAAAATATTGAATCCGTGTTCTATACTAGATTAGAGGAAAAGGGAGAGAGGAAAAAGAGAAGACAATTAAATGATTATAAAAAAAAAACCACTTCACGTTAAACCCGACTAGCAAGTGTGGGGTGGAAAAAATCCTTGTACGCAGCCTTATCCTTGCATAATTGCAAAGATGTTATTTCCTGGATTCGAACCCATGAGAACCCATGACCTTTCAGTCATGAAAGAACAGTTTTACCACTGTTCCATTCGAACCGGAGCAGTGGTAAAGCTGTTATTTCATGACTGAAAAGTCATGGGCTCGAATCCAGGAAATAGTATATTTGCAATTATGCAAAGGGGCTACGTACAAGGATTGCCTCCATCCCATTTTCACTAGTCGGGTTTAACGAGGAGTGGTGGTTTTTAAATGATTATATCCTCCAAAATTAATTATGTGGACTAAATGATTCTTATACACACACGCACATCAGGTTTAGAGTTTAGTAATTATCTGTTCTGTCCTTTAGCTTCTCTGTTTGGTTTAATGAGATTTAGTCATTGATTAAGTATCTGTTATGCAAGTCCTTTCATGGTTTTAATTTCATGGCCATCCAAGCATTTTGCGAGGGCAAATTCATTGTAGGAAAAAAAATTTATACTATGATGTAAATACAGCAAATATTTTTTTTTTACAGGAAACAAACGAAAATTTGGAGGATGCGAGCAATGAGTTGATTCTCACAGATGAAGAGATGGTTCGGTTTCAAATAGGGGAGGTTTTTGCTCATGTACCAAAGGATGAAGTTGAGAACAGGATAGAACAGATGAAAGAGGTAACAAGCCAGAAACTGGAAAAGATTGAAGCGGAGAAAGAGTCTGTACTTTCTCAGATGTCTGAACTGAAGAAAATTTTGTATGGGAAGTTCAACGACTCGATCAATCTTGAGGAGGAATAGTAACTTTCTTCTTGTTCATAGATTTTTAGGTTTTTTTTGTTAATATGACCTAATGGACCTTTGGCTTTTATTGAGTCAGATTGTCTCTCTCTTTCAATTTTAGAATGTTGTCTGGCTTGAACCTCCTTCACTTGTTTGCTTCTGATTCTGCCTCTCTTTGGCTTCTTTATTCTCTGAAAAACTTCTGATTAAATTTTAATACTATCCAGTGTTTGGCATGATATTATATAAAATAATATCATCTAATGTTTGGTATTAGACTGTACAGTACTAGATAGGTTAAAAATAAATATTTTTGTCAAAAATACTTTTTAATAATGAATTTACATAATTCTTCCAAATATATCATATGATATTATTTTTTATAGAAATATGTTGATCAATGTGTCCAAAAAATATATTAATTTTTATAAAAAAAAAAAATTCCAATATTTTAAAAAATTATATATTGAAAATATTTAAGGAATAGTAAGGAATTTGATAAAATAAGGGACTGGACTTGTAATGTGAAAGACTTGTGGAGAAACCTTGTAAGGGAGATAGTTGGTGATTACTTTGCTCTCACGCTAGAAGAAGTTTGCAAAGTCTTGGACCTTTCGGGTGCTTTCTTGAAAGAAACACCAGAGCTAGAGTCAGTTGAACATACTGATATTGTTCATTGTGATGCTAGTCCTAGTAATGTACTTGGTTCTAAAATTGGAATATCTGATTGCCCAATGGAAAGTGGTGAGTCTACGAACTTGCTAGATACCGATCAAAACGGTGGTGGCATCGTTTTCATTCAAGAGAAATATGATACAAATCCTTTGGTCGATGGTGCATCTGAGAAAGAAATTGTGTTGGTAGAAGAACCTGAGTCTCAAAAGGAAATTTCCTACTATGATGCTGGTGAAGTAATTTCAGAATCTAGCTATAATGAAAGAAGTGAAAAACGTAGACGCTCTACGTCCATATATTGGCAACCTCTGGTGCTATCTGAAGTTGAATTTTGTCCTGATGTTATTAATCAATATGGAGTTGGATGTGAGAGCAAGATGACCAGGGAAGGTTTGAAGACAAAAGTAAGAAAACATCTAGCATATCTTGGATGGAGAATTGAGTGGACTCAACACAAAAATTGTCCTGGGCAAAGACGATACAGGTACATGTCACCAAATACACAGGACAAGAAGGTTTACTATTCAATTCCTCAAGTTTGTAGTCATCTGAAAAAGGAGTCCAACATGAATTTTGTGCTGTCCCAAAATGACCAGAGTAGGATGCATTCTACAGTTGACAATAATCTTTCAAATCTAGATGTTCATCATCCGATCGGGGCATCCTCTCCTGTCGAAGTTGTAGCTGAATCACATACTCCAGATGGTTTACCAATTGGGAATACAAATCATAAACGCACCACGAAATCAAAGGCCTGCCCACCAAAGCACAAGAGGAATGTATTACCTACAAGGGTGCAGAACGTAAACTCCCCTTGTCTATCACATCAAAATGTTTTGTCTTGTTAATAGATAGCAACATGGTATTGCCAAGATCTAAGGTCTACTATCGGGGAAAAGGAGGTAAGAACACTCACGACATTGAAGGGAGGGTAACTCTTGATGGAATCAAGTGTAGCTGTTGTCAGAATGTATATAGACCTGGTGGCTTTGCAATTCATGCTAGTGGCTGTTATGACTGCAGGCCTTGTGCTAGTATCTTTTTGAGGGATGGTAGGTCACTCTTGGATTGCATGATACAACTAATGCATAAAAATTGGGCAAGGGAAGCTTTGGAAAAACAATGCAATGATATGTGTCAAGGTGAAAATGACAATTGTTTTGTTTGTCATGATGGTGGTGAACTTATTTTATGTGACAAATGCCCGTCTGCATTTCATATGGAGTGTCTTGGTTTGGAGGTATATTAACTGCTTTCCTTCTCAATCATGTCATATTAAATATTATCTTGTGGTTACTTCAATTCTGTACTTTCATACCAATAACTGGTCTTGGTTCTGTTTATGTAGGATATCCCTGATGGTGACTGGTTTTGTCCATCATGTCGTTGCCGGATTTGCAGCGAAATCAAAATCCAAGGGACTGAAGATGGAGATTTTCTTACTTGCATTCAATGTGAACATAAGTGTAAGCGGATAATTCCTTTTGTGTGCATAGCATATGCTGATGAATATTGTAATGCTTATGGAGTCATATTTGTCAACCCTATGCAGATCACATTGGATGCCTGAGAAAAAGAGCACGAGATAAATCAAGAATATATTTGAAAATTTGGTTATGTGGAGAAGAGTGTGAACAGGTACATTATATCTGCCTCCCTTCTTTCTTGTATCTATGTTTGCGAAAAATTTAATCATAATTTTCCTAAAGAATTGAGATTTCTGCCTTTTCTTGGATTTATTAAGATTTTAGATTCCTGGAAAGCATTACTTTACCATTTTTGATCACAACAATATTAAATTGTTGACCATTATTTCCTCTTATGTAGCTGAGGTTTAATAGAATTAATGCTTTCTAGTCTAGGAATGAGCTCTTTATTCAGATTAGGCTTGCTTTCAATTATGGTTTTCATTTAATAGATAATTAGCTAGTCAACAATGCGTGAATTTTGTGATGGGTAAAGGTTAAAGTTTGATGCCAACGAAACATTTAAGGCTGTGTGTGATCAGTATACACTGCTAGAAATATTTTTAGGACATTGGTTACACTCAATATTTACTTGTGTATATTTTTTTTGCAGATATATGCAGGCATTCATCAGATATGCAGGCATTCATCAACTGATGAATGCCTGCATATATCTGCAAAAAAAATATACACAAGTAAATATTGAGTGTAACCAATGTCCTAAAAATATTTCTAGCAGTGTATACTGATCACACACAGCCTTAAATGTTTCGTTGGCATCAAACTTTAACCTTTACCCATCACAAAATTCACGCATTGTTGACTAGCTAATTATCTATTAAATGAAAACCATAATTGAAAGCAAGCCTAATCTGAATAAAGAGCTCATTCCTAGACTAGAAAGCATTAATTCTATTAAACCTCAGCTACATAAGAGGAAATAATGGTCAACAATTTAATATTGTTGTGATCAAAAATGGTAAAGTAATGCTTTCCAGGAATCTAAAATCTTAATAAATCCAAGAAAAGGCAGAAATCTCAATTCTTTAGGAAAATTATGATTAAATTTTTCGCAAACATAGATACAAGAAAGAAGGGAGGCGGATATAATGTACCTGTTCACACTCTTCTCCACATAACCAAATTTTCAAATATATTCTTGATTTATCTCGTGCTCTTTTTCTCAGGCATCCAATGTGATCTGCATAGGGTTGACAAATATGACTCCATAAGCATTACAATATTTATCAACATATGCTATGCACACAAAAGGAATTATCCACTTACACTTATGTTCACATTGAATGCAAGTAAGAAAATCTCCATCTTCAGTCCCTTGGATTTTGATTTCGCTGCAAATCCGGCAACGACATGATGGACAAAACCAGTCACCATCAGGGATATCCTACATAAACAGAACCAAGATCAGTTATTGGTATGAAAGTACAGAATTGAAGTAACCACAAGATAACATTTGATATGACATGATTGAGAAGGAAAGCAGTTAATATACCTCCAAACCAAGACACTCCATATGAAATGCAGACGGGCATTTGTCACATAAAATAAGTTCACCACCATCATGACAAACAGAACAATTGTCATTTTCACCTTGACACATATTATTGCATTGTTTTTCCAAAGCTTCCCTTGCCCAATTTTTATGCATTAGTTGTATCATGCAATCCAAGAGTGACCTACCATCCCTCAAAAAGATACTAGCACAAGGCCTGCAGTCATAACAGCCACTAGCATGAATTGCAAAGCCACCAGGTCTATATACATTCTGACAACAGCTACACTTGATTCCATCAAGAGTTACCTTCCCTTCAATGTCGTGAGTGTTCTTGCCTCCTTTTCCCCGATAGTAGACCTTAGATCTTGGCAATACCATGTTGCTATCTATTAACAAGACAAAACATTTTGATGTGATAGACAAGGGGAGTTTACGTTCTGCACCCTTGTAGGTAATACATTCCTCTTGTGCTTTGGTGGGCAGGCCTTTGATTTCGTGGTGCGTTTATGATTTGTATTCCCAATTGGTAAACCATCTGGAGTATGTGATTCAGCTACAACTTCGACAGGAGAGGATGCCCCGATCGGATGATGAACATCTAGATTTGAAAGATTATTGTCAACTGTAGAATGCATCCTACTCTAGTCATTTTGGGACAGCACAAAATTCATGTTGGACTCCTTTTTCAGATGACTACAAACTTGAGGAATTGAATAGTAAACCTTCTTGTCCTGTGTATTTGGTGACATGTACCTGTATCATCTTTGCCCAGGACAATTTTTGTGTTGAGTCCACTCAATTCTCCATCCAAGATATGCTAGATGTTTTCTTACTTTTGTCTTCAAACCTTCCCTGGTCATCTTGCTCTCACATCCAGCTCCATATTGATTAATAACATCAGGACAAAATTCAACTTCAGATAGCACCAGAGGTTGCCAATATATGGACGTAGAGCGTCTACGTTTTTCACTTCTTTCATTATAGCTAGATTCTGAAATTACTTCACCAGCATCATAGCAGGAAATTTCCTTTTGAGACTCAGGTTCTTCTACCAACACAATTTCTTTCTCAGATACACCATCGACCAAAGGATTTGTATCATATTTCTCTTGAATGAAAACGATGCCACCACCGTTTTGATCGGTATCTGCAAGTTCGTAGACTCACCACTTTCCATTGGGCAATCAGATATTCCAATTTTAGAACCAAGTACATTACTAGGACTAGCATCACAATGAACAATATCAGTATGTTCAACTGACTCTAGCTCTGGTGTTTCTTTCAAGAAAGCACCCGAAAGGTCCAAGACTTTGCAAACTTCTTCTAGCGTGAGAGCAAAGTAATCACCAACTATCTCCCTTACAAGGTCTCTCCACAAGTCTTTCACATTACAAGTCCAGTCCCTTATTTTATCAAATTCCTTTCTATTCCTTAAATCATACCAAATTTGCTTAAATGAAACTGCAATATAGGAAAACTGCTTACAC